GGGATGCTTTCAATGCCGTTTGCGATTATATTCAAGCAACCAAGCGTATACCTTTGTGATCTTCAATAAAAAAAAAATATGTATTACTCTCAAGGGCAGAGTGAAGTAAACGCAGCTGAGTGGTAAACATAACACCTCAAAACTCAAAATTGCTCAACTTGATTTTTTTTTCGTTTGCTCTTTTTATGTTGTTTTTATTTTTACATTAGTCTCATTACAATACCAATTCATTGCACATAGTTAAAATGATCACAGAAAAACTGCACTACACTTTCTTGGCCAATCCCCCTGAGTGGGTATGAGCCAACCTCGCAGGGAAACAAAACAAAAACAAAACAAAACAAGAAAGGCCCATCGCTACCTGGTCGCACTACCAGATCGAAATCGACGACTTCATCGAAGACTACGACCAGGTCGAACGCATCCGAGACAATGACCGCAAGGTTAGTGCGCTGCTACGATGTCCTCGCGTCACTTCTGTTCCGATCCTTGTAACCGTTACATGAGCAGAACCAAATAGGTTTAGGAAGAAAATGCTAGAGTGTGAGTCTCATGCTAAAAATGAAGCTAGAGCTTCGCCATATTATACAGTACGCAGGATAGCCTTAACGAAAAAAAAGTTGGCGATTACTCCCACACTTACTCCCACAAACGCTCCTCGATTTGAACTTTTTACCTCCTCAAGGCAGCGGAATTGAAACGCTTTTGTGGTACCTAAATTGGTACCACCTACAATTCTACCTCCGTGGCACCACCTCAGGACAGCGATATTGAAACGCGTTTGTGCGCATTGAAGGCGCTGACAAGTTGAGTTCAAAGCAAAGAGCGTCTTAGGTGCGAAGCTCACTAGGCCATGGGTCGAGCGTCCGCGATATATGATGTAGTAGTAGTAGTGCGTCGTAGTAGTAGGTGGCCACCTCCACGGCCGGACTATAGGAGCGGCACGCGCAGTCATTTGAATTGAGGAAGAAACCCGCGCACGTTATTCATAAATAAAGAAAAGATAGTTGCTTCTGATGAAACAACCTACTCAGACGATTATCGGTGACTTAATCTCTAATAAAAGTTGCCTTGAATTCAATGCTTACTAAACAAAACTACTATCAGAAGGACGCGCTTTGAGCACAATCTGACCAGAAAGAGCTGCCACGTTAAACTCACTGGGCTTAATCTCCTTAGATTTAGCAAGGTTTAGCGAGGGTTGGGTCGCACTGCCTTGAACTATAGGGGCGGCGAAAGGTGGGAACTAGACACGAAGCGCAGACCGCAAGAAAGTGCGCGCGTGCCGCTCCTCTAGTCCAGCCGTGTCACATCTCGTTTAGGCCTTGGAATGTCCACTGCTTGGCCGCACTTCTATATGATGAATATATGATGAAGAGATGCGAGATGGCGGTACTTCGAGTGTTCACTAGATGAACAAACGTATGGACAGACGCCAGCATAGAGTGACAGACAGATGCACGGACAGATGGAAACATGGACGGGTGGACGAATGCATAGATTAACGAATGGACGGACGGATGGACGCATGGACGAACGGATGGGCGCACAGATGGACGGGCGCACGAATAGATGCATGGATGGACGGAAGCAAGAACGAACGGAGGAACGGATGCACGGACGGACTGACAGATTTTCGCCCCACTCATCATCATGCACTCCGTGGATATGCTGCGACTTTTTTTTTTTGAATACGGGGGTAAGACAGGCAGTTTTACGGACAGTAGCTCTTCAGTGTGTCTCTGAACACCAAATTCCTCGAAAATTTTATTCCAGGTCACGTCGCAAACATGGTCGGAAACATTGACCTTTTCTTTTATATTTAACTTAGTGTATACGTTAGCCGAACAGGAACACTTGATCTCTGATCGGGCTTCTCATGTAAATACTCTTGTTAAGGTAATCAATACGCAAGTGGTGGCTTCATACTTGCTGCTGGGAAGTTTCGATGGCTCGCGCTCCAGCACTGTCTTTGGAAGCTTTGCAGACATTACTTCGAAAGGCTGGATGCGATCACGATATCAAAGTGACTTTCACCAGGCGAAAGAGTAAATCTTGGCAGGCTCTTGAGTGGATTTTGACACTTGAATACCGAAGTGGCGTCGTAACTTCCTTCTGAGCGTTTGTCGCTTACCAAGCGCACCCCTTATGAAAATGAATTTTGAGAGTCTAATGTGCAGCTAATGCACACCTAATGAGTCACTAGATTGACATTAGACCTGCAAAGCCTAACGTCTCTTAGCATCAGGTGTGCAATGGAGACTCAGTTGACAACATGCACCAGGATTTCTGATGATCAAAGTACGCAGATTTTCCAGTGCGTGTCTTAATGTCAAAACACATCACAATAAAAAAAATTTCGTCATATCACAAAAACATCACAAAAACTCAATTTCTTACTACTAAATGTAATAATCGCGGGAATTCTAGATCCCAAAACCACTATATGATAATGAAGAACGCCGTAGCGTAGTGCTTCAGAAATTTCGACGATCTGTGATTTCTTAACGTGCACCGAAGTCTCATTCAATTACTTGCTGATCTCGACATTCACGTACATGCTGTCTTTCGGAAATGTAAAACACTAAGCAGTTTGTATTCCCATATATTTTTCGACCAAGTTTCAGTAAATATAACATCGACATGAAGGGAATGTCTTCGTACACATGCTTAAGTGTAAATCAGCTAGACCATACGAGCAATAATAATAATAATAATAATAATAATAATAATAATAATAATAATAATAATAATAATAATAATAATAATAATAATAATAATAATAATAATATAATCCAGGGTCTCTTATGCATTAATTCACGTAAGACAACTCGAAGGCGACAGCCATCTCTTTCTTTTTTTCCAATCAGTTAATGTGTTCATCCTGCCGCCCTTCGAAAACTTTTTGCCACTAATGTGGTTATGCATTGCCTCCACGGTTAATGACACCGTTTTGCGTAGCCAATCAGCCAGCCAGCCTTTGGACAAGCTATGATGGGATTGTGTGCGATGTAATGACTTTATCATGTGGCGCTATAATGACACGTCATCTCGAGGTGATTACTTTTTGCATGCATCCATCGTTCCCTACATTGCAGGATGCGAGACGCTGCCAACGGTCAAATTTTACTTTTAATGAGGCATCTAAGGCTTGCGATTCCATTAGTAATCAATTATTTATTATTTACTTATTCATGTAGCGTGCCCAGAAACATTATAAGGTTGTACATATGCATTTAAAAAACAACAATAACGATTATTATTATTATTATTATTTTTATTATTATTATTATTATTACTATTGATGATGATGATGATGATGATATTCGTGCCAAAAGCGCGATGTGAAGGCAAACTTTACTGGGGCATTCAGGGGAGCTTTTCACCACCTTGCGCGCATAAATTTTGAATATGTATTTAAATCTAACAAGCATAACGTCGATCGCTTACGCTGAAGCGTAATTGTGAACAATGGATCCGTACGGGTCCCGAAACGTCATTGTTTTGTTTGACATTGGTCAGTGACCTGTTTTATTCAACAATGCCTTTACCTGACCAGACGGCATTCCGTCGAACTCTCGACTACGTTACGCTGAAGCGGTACCCCAAACAGTTGCATAGACGTGCCCATTTGCCATTTGCATGGAGGGGGATGGTTCCATTAGCTGATCAGTGGGCATTGATGATTGATTGATTTGTGGGGTTTAACGTCCCAAAACCACGTTATGAGTACGAGAGACGCCGTAGTGGAGGGCTCCGGAAATTTCGACCCCCTGGGGTTCTTTAACCAAATCTCAGCACACGGGCCTACAACATTTCCGCCTCCAACGAAAATGAAGCCGCCGCAGCGGGGATTCGATCCCGCAACCTGTGGGTTTGCAATCGAGTACCTAGCCTCTAGACCACCACGGTGGGGCTCAGTGGACACCGAGGGCAGCACAGGAGATAAACTCATCGTATCGTTTTAGTGAGCATATGAAAGCGTATTTAAATATCAGTCATACTTTTACAACAAAAATATGGCTGGGAGCGGCAGCTGCCAAATGTGTGCCCCTCTCCTCCTCCCCACCACCGGAAGGTGGTGGAGAGCAAAGGTGTGATGGAGAGGAAGAGAGAAGCTTTAATGCGCATTCATGCCTCTCACCCCGCCACTGTTTTGCTACCACAACGCTAGCTGTCACGTAGAGACAGCGGCGTAGATTAAAAAAAAAAAACAAAAAAAAACAAGGGAGGGCAAGGAAAGGAATCCCTCGTTGATCTCGGGGAATGGCGGGGGGGGGGGGGGGGGAGCAGGCGACTAGTCATTTTGCTCTATGTATACCACGCCAAAAAAAAAAAAAAAAGATTGCCCGAAAGGCGCGGGGAGGGGGGAGGGCAGAAAGGGTAACGGACTCGGTGCGCCAACCCCTAGCTACGCCACCATAGAACACCACTGCGTAGAGACGTAAAGGAATGGACACCCGGTCAGATACCTTTTTTCTCTGTAGAGCAGGAATGCATGCCATTCATTCTTTCCTGCACACGAACAAAGCCGCAGCTGCAAAAACATTGCCCTCGAGATCTGTACTTATTGGCATTGTGTTGCAGGGACTCGGAGATGGCCATTGCTGTTCACATGAGTTGTAAAACCTTTTTTTTTTTTCCGTTATGAAAAACAAAATACAAACAACTGCATACCTACACATATTGCAAACAAATATTTAAGAAGGCTTCATTTGGCTTGAAAAGTTTTAAATACGCTTGATTGTTATTTTAAAATATTTATATAGTGACTCGTTAGTGCTGTCATCGGAACACTTATTTTGGTTAGGCTTGTAAATGAGCAGTTGCAACAGGCCTTGTTGCACTGCGGGGTCACCACCAGCTTCACGCAAAAACATGTGCAGTAAGTCCGCGGTTATATAATTGCCGTGTTGATAGATATTGCGTGAATTGTATACTGATCCTCCTTTGGAATTCGTCTACAGGATAGCTTCCACGTGTCGGGAAGTTCTTCTGCTTTGATCGAGTGGCGGACGATGACTCGCGTACGTTGCCTGCTACAGCCACATCGGACGCGCGCCTTCGTGTTCGCTCTGAAAAGTGATTTCTTCCTCCATTTATCGATCACTCGTGTTGTTCGCGTGACTCAATGTCGAGTGTGCTTCCGAAGACAATGCTCGACACCTGGTGTGACAAGCAGTGACTGATGTTATGCGAAAGCGTGAGCTTTTTGACGGGCGACTGAAGAGTGCACAGCCTATGCCAAAACTTCGGTAAGTTGAAGAATGTCGCTGAACTACGTAACTGGGCTACTTCATTGCGTGACAAATGGTATGCAGGAAGTGATGGCCCGGACGGCTTGTTGGCACAGCGGGGATGAGGAACCAGAGACCCGATAGGCAGGTATGTTTTGAGGTGGCTTATTTTATATCACCGTAAGAAAGAGTCGCTGTGTGCGTTGATTGCATGTTTTAGATTCGCGTTGCGCTACGTGAGCTATCGTTCGGTCATGCAAGCCTCTTGTCGTGCTGTCATTCCTTGGCTGTTTACTGCACGTGATTATCCTTTGATCCCTTGTCGCCCTGTAAAAGTGTCTGCATTTAAACATACGGGTGTCGCGAGAGCGGTTCACGTTCACCCAACTTGATAGTTTGTGCGTTTTCACGCGCAAGACAATCACACGACTGGGCACGTAGATAGTAAAACGCACAGCCCTGTCAAGCACACGCGAATGATGTTTTCGTGGCTGCGCTCCGAATCCTTGTGCGAGAAATCCATGTAATTTCTCTATGGTTAGAATTTCACCCTAGCTGCCTCATAAATCTTTTAAGAGAGCTACGAGTGTTGAAAATTGGGCGAGTTGGTTCGTCGTACTTGAACTGGTATAGCGCATTATGGGGAAGAAGAAACGGCTGAGCAGACCGACACAAGAGAACAGAGCGCTAACTTGAAGTATACGTATTTCAGTAATCTACACTATGTGCTGAAACTAAGAGTACACTCCTACTGCTGCATTGAAGATAGGTTGATATCGAGTGTTAGTAGAAGAATACGGGAATTAAATTTAGGTAATTAAGCTAACACATGACACCCTTTGTTGCAATATTTATGTAAACTTTTGTTAGCTATATAAATCTTTATTTTCTCCTTGAAGCATACCAGGTGCTTCAAATTGTATTTCCGTGCTTTCTTTTTTACATCAGTACGGGAATTAAATTTAGGTAATTAAGCTAACACATGACACCCTTTGTTGCAATATTTGTGTAAACTTTTGTTAACTATATAAATCTTTATTTTCTCCTTGAAGCAGACCAGGTGCTTCAAGTTGTATTTCCGTGCTTTCTTTTTTTACATCAGTGTTGTACTGATATCGCCTACTTGCTTGCGTGACGAGGATGTATAACCTATGTGTAGCAGTCAGGGATTTAGTATTTATTTTGTTTTGTGAGGCAGTAAATTAGAAGCAAAAAGAACTTATTCCTATGTTTCCAGATGTTGACAGAGAGTTTCAAAATATCAATATTTTTGCAAAGGGCTTATGTAATAAAAGAAATCCTACAGATAGCTTGTGTGAACAAAAGTCAAACTACATGGTAATTTGCTTCAGAGTACCAACAGTTTGTTTCCTGAATAGCTTACATTTATGATGTAATACAATATATATGGCTCGTTCTTCAACACGGCATGTGCGCATAAACCATGCACTCTTTGCAAATATTGTTTTCATCATTTAGATCACCCACACACATGTGCATGCTCTGCATAGTGTTATTACGTAGTTTTGTGAATGCGAAACATTCATTGGCACTCTGTCCATTGTTAGCAAGAAGGGGCTAGTCCAATATTGCCTGTTTTGATTGTGCCATGATCCCTTTATTCAAGGATTTACCCTTCAATGTATCAGTATACCGGGTCCCGCGCAACGGGTTGAGAGTCCTCCAGGCAGAGTAAGCTTCACCACTGGGGCGACGCGTCACAGCCCCTCGAAGCCCGCCTGTACCCTGTTTAGCTACCGGTGGGTAGCCGGCTGGCACTGGGAATCGAACCCCGCACCTCCCGTAGCTGAAGCGGACGCGTACGTGCAATGCCACAGCTATGATTAATGTATCAGTATACACTTTGCTAAGACATGTTTGGTACTCGCTATCTGTGTGTGATATAACGTTTGTTGTGTGTGAAAGTAATATTTTGTGGTACCTTTTATAGATGTATCAGCGATGGCAGCTGTTCATGGTCCCGACGCAGAGGACAGGTTGCAGTGTGCGATTGGAACGGTCTTCCTGCAAGCCCTAACGAGCCTTATTAAGCGGTAGGCATTTCTTTTTGTTACCACAAAGTGATATTTTGGACACATAGCACCTAATGAGGTATAGCATGCACTGTCTTTTAGCTTAGGTGTGGGAAGCCTATGTCCTGCACTTCAGTGCAGTATTTCTTGGACATGGAACATGCATCATTTGGTTTGTAATCCTTGAACATGGAATGTTGCCGGAGCCAATGTTGTGACACTTGGAGGCGTCTTGATAATGGGAACAGCTGTTCCTTGTCACCGCTGTCTTGAGCAAGGCAAGAGTTCTTGTTAAAGGGTTGCACAAAGAAAAACATTCAGCATTGTTTGTTAAACATTAGGTAATATTTAGCTCAATTATAACACAATGATGAGACCGGTGCACGTTAAACAAGATGGGTTATCGCAACGGAAGCACAAAAATTTACGGCATGATGCTCACCCTGTATTTTTTAGTGCTTAGGTTGCAATTAACTATTTTATGTAAAGTTGGGGCACGTGTGCTGCGTCCTCTCTCATGGTCTTTGTGTTACATTGTGCTAAATATCACATAAGTTGGAATGTTGGCTGCAGCGACATTCCCTCTTATAGGATTTGTTGGTCTTTTCAAGTTTCCTCCATCAACATCTATTTTGTTTGGACTGCCATGAAATTGTGTGCAGTGAAATCTTACTTGTAATCATTTTTCACTTATTGTCATGATGATTGCTTTTACCTTAAATTTTTTTGTGGAAATAAAAGATTTTTTAACTAAGTTTTTTTTTTACAAGTAGAAGTGTCATTCATTTTTTGTGCTTTTTAAAGGGACTGCAAACAACATTGAAGTCTAAAAATTTAATGAATATAAATAAGCACACTTTTGCTATGTGCACACTCTGCCGCAAGAATTCGGCGAATTCGTGTTCAAGGAAGTCACGGGGGTTGTTGTTTCAGCTCGTTTTCGAATTTTCACGTGTATGAGCAGATTTGTGGTATTTTTTTAAGTTGTAGTGCAATCTTGTTTTAAGCAACATCGTGCAACATGAAAGTACTTATTCCTTTCTAACAAAGCCTTCTCAGATAATCCTTATGCCTAAGAGTTTGATCATCTAAATTAGGGACAGCTTTTCTTGAGAGGCAGCACATACTCATGTTTCATCACATTGTTTGGAACATGTTCCCACTACAATCTATGACAATACCATGAATGTGTTTATGTAACACGGCTCACGAGACATAGAGGCCTATCATACAGAGAAGTGTAATCTGTGTCATAGTGCCTTGAATAGCCTTGTTGGACTGCAAAGTTAAATTGTTGAATGAATTCATGCTCTTTTGGAAGTACAGTACTCACGGATTGAAATAGGACACTCGGAGCGTGTGGCCAACGGTACATGTGCCACCGCTCGTGGGTGCGCGCAGAACCAATGTGTTACGTTTTGGTATAGGGCCATACGGGGAAGACCTAGGGAGCATGGCTACTCCTTCCGATCGCCAAATTGTCGGCCTGTAGTTCTTCACGTGTACACTACCAGGGCAGCGCTGCAAGGCTCACGCACATTCGCATGTCTACCAAACTGGCTCACCGCTGCGCACCACTTTTATTGCCACGCCAGCAGACGACCCTCTCGTTCTGCGTGCTTAGGCAATGCAGTACGCATGCTGTGCAAGTAAGACGCAGGATTCATTTAGTAGATCGTGCCTTGTGTGCGTTTGTAGACATGATAAACATCTGCACATAAGCATGAAAAGTTTACTTCGTGGTTTCAGTCTCGAAAGAAAGAAAATGTGTGGCATGCTTTCCTTCATGCAAGATGGAAATAATATCATGTATTAGTGTCGTTAAAGCAAACTGCGGCCTATTGTTGAATAAAAATGTGAGAAGCTCGCTCGTTCTACTGTGGCCGACAGCTCTACAAATGCTTGCCATGTAAAATAGCCGCACTATTCACTGCTTGGGGTGAGACAAGAAAGTACTTAGTTATTGTTTTATTGCTGCACGGAAACAGGCCCGTGGCTGGTGCGTTTCTTTTTCGTTATGATAAAAAGCTTGAAAAACTTTTTATGCTGTTGTACAGCTATTTATTATGTCAACGAGCGCATTTCGGGCACAAAATCTTAGCGGTATCCAATTACTTACTTGCGCAGCCTACGTGCCCCATCGTTGAAGGGCGCCGATCTAAAGCGTTGTCTGCTAGCGTCACAATATAAATGGTTCTCACAGTCCCCATCGATTCGGGCTGCATGCATGCAAAAATGCACGAGCCTTGCAGCGTCACGCTGGCAGTGTGCACTTTGTGGACTAAATGCCAACTCTTTAGCGACCAGAAGGAGTAAGCCTGCTCTTTAGCTGTTTTTGCCCTCACTCTATACAACAGTGCGACATCCTGGTTCCGCGAGCACCCATGAGCAGCGATGTGCATTGGCGGCCATGCACTACGAATGTCCTGTTTCAATCCGTGAGTACTGTACATATATGTTGACCATACTGGGCATGTTGGTACGTACTTGGGAGGAAACAGGAGCGCAAGCAAATACATGGACTGCTGCATCCATTATTCTTTCTGTGTCGGCGTCTTAGCTCATGATGCTGTTCACTCCTGAGTGTACATTTTATTTCCTCGCTGAGCTCCTACATACACTCTAAATTGTATTATCTCTGTGACGTAAGGGTTCAGGCAATATTTTTGGCATCTGCACGGTTTAAAATAGCCATGAGTTCAACACTGATATGTGCTATTTCTTTAAATATTTGAGTAACGCAAGTGTTTGGTCGGGTGGGTAATTCATCGCCTAAAAAATTTTGTAAGGTGCGGCAAATTATCAACAGAGAAAAGGGAGAGGACACAAAGTAGTGCTAGCTTGTGTTGTCGCCCTTTTGATTGTGCATGTTTTTTCTGCTGTTGAAAGTTTTCTTTAGAAAGAGTTCCTAACCTTGTCCTATCAAGACGTTCAGTAAATGCCAACACAACCGTGTAGATTCTTGTGCTTATTAATGACCAGCGATCAATTTCATAATTTGCAATATTGGCTAGTGAACATGGGCAACTGTGCACTCTAAAGCATGGAGCTAGGTAAAAATATTTCCTTCTTTATAAAGCTTTTATCACCCCTTCAAGATACCTAAATAATGTATTTTTAGCTATTGAATAATATGCAAAAATAATCAAGGGTACAAAAATGTTTTCCTTGCTTCCTCCGATCTGTTGCTTGTAGAAAGATGTGTACAAATGAGCTGTAACATGTTACAACATGCATATCTGTGTAATATACTGTAGGTTACAAAAAGCACAATTTTTAATTGTTTTCACTAGAGTTGTGTAGCTGTATCATCTAGACGTAGCTCTACGTTTCATGTGCCTGTTTGTTGCTCAATTTCATCTTGCACATAGGCGTGCGCATAAGAGTAGGGGCAGCCCCCCTCTCCCCCAACTTGTTAACTAAGACGGGGGCTACAAAATTGGAAGCTTACTTAACCAAGTAAGGGGGAGTGCTGTGGTGAACCTCCCTGCCACCCAAGTGTAGGAAAACCCTGCACACGCCTAAGACTTTGCACCTCTGAGCATGAGCCCACGATATAGTTCTCTCCCCGCAGGGGCGCCTGCGCTAATAGGCGTTTGGTGTGTAGCGACACCACGGACCCGAGCTAACGGGGGAGTTTTGACTCCCTCCCACGCCTAGCCGTGCGTGGCTTTGCCGTGTCCGGGGAAAAGGGGATCCTGGGGGTTGAGCTGACGCTGGGTGATTGGACCTTTAAGGCCCCCTGGCAGAGGCAACACACCCCTTTGGCCCTGGCTTCACGTAGACGGCACCCCCGTATTGACCCGCCTGGGGGGAATCGGCAGTCGCCTTTTCCTGTCTCCCCCTTACATCTTTGTCTTTTCTCTTACTTTAAATCTTTCCTGTCCTCTACTCTCTTCCGTTGACTTCCGTGTTTCCTGGCGGCAAGGGTTAACCCTGTGTGGCTATCCTACCTTGCATACACCATATTCGGTTATAGTGGTGGTGTACAGCTGGCGTCTGCAGGGCCTGTGCTTACAGACCCTGCAGCATCCCCTTGTAGGACTCCATGGTGGGTGGCTGGCGCCGCTGCCGAAAATAAACCTTTTCTTATGGCTAGCTCCTTCCCCCCACTCCCTGATCGCCCTCAGAAAAGAGGGCGCACCGATGAAGTCTTCGAGTTTTTTGGTCACCAAAGAGTATCCTTTCCCCGATTCCACGTTATCCACACTGACACACCCGGCAAACCAGTGCGAACAATTTCACCTTTTCTTGTTTCAAAGTCTTTGACAGAAATCTTTGGCCCAGGATATAAAGCTTCGAGAATGGCAAGTGGTGACCTCCTGTTGGAGCTCCGCGACCAGAAACAATATGAAAAATTGCCTAATTCAGTGAAATTTGGAGATACCAAATTAATAGTAACCCCACACCGAACCATGAACACCACCCGTGGCGTTGTCTCAGATGATGACCTGTTAGGGCTGACGGAGGCTGAACTCCTGGAGGGTTTCAGCGAACAGAACGTCATAAACGTGAAACGAATTAGGATGAGGCGTGATGGCAAAGAAATCCAGACTAAACACCTTATACTTACCTTCAATTCAAGTGTACTGCCCGACTCCGTTGAGGCTGGGTATATCAAGCTTCGAGTGAGGCCATATATACCAAACCCTCTCCGATGTTTCAAATGCCAGCGATTCGGCCACAGTTCACAGAACTGCCGAGACCGCCTAACTTGCGCGAAATGCAGTACTGAAGAGCACACATCAGATGCCTGTGAAAACTCTCTTCACTGTGCGAACTGTAATGGGGAACATGCCGCATACTCGCGGTCATGCCCGTGCTGGAAAAAGGAAAAGGAAATTGTCACTTAAAGTAAAACAAAACATTTCATTTAAGGAGGCACGAAGGCAGGTGTCCTGCCTACCAGAAACTAGCTTTGCCGAAGTGGCGCGTCAGGGGGCAGCGCCACGACGGCCCTCGGCGCCTGTCTGGCATACGCGTAGTGAGCCAGCAGTGACGCCATCCACCCCCGGCGGTTGCAGCCAGTGCTGCTCCGCCATCCAAGAAAGACCCACCAACCTACGGGCTGGGGGCCGCAAAG